GGGGCTGCAGGTGAGTCGGGGGGCTGGGGGGCCCGGGGGCAGCCGCGTTTCCTCCTCCACCCCGCTGGGCTCCCCGCTAGGATTACTGTTAATCTGGGCTCAGCCGCCCCTGTAAGTGACTGCATTAGCAGATGAAAACGTAATTGTCCGGGAGTTGAAACATCATTATTTATAAACAGCAGCATTAAGCCAAAAGCAGACACGGGTGGGGGGCGGGGGGGCCCCCGCAGCAGGGACTGTCCCCAGAGCTGTCACCGTGGCCAGGGCCGCGCAGCTTTAGGGCCTGGCGAAGGGGCGGCCACTCGCGCGGCCCCGCGCCAGGAACCCACCTCTCCATCCAGCCCATCCTGTGCAATAAACGTCAGCGCCTGACCGTGCTCGCCTCGGCTCCTCCTTCGCGCGGCCTCCGCTCTCGCCTCCGCTCCGGCCTCGCCCTGCAGCCCCGGCCGCCTCCTGCCCCATAAAGCCCCCCCCCGAAGGGCGCTCGGCCCCGGCTAGGGGCCCACGAGACCCCCARGCCTCAACAGCCCCAGCTCCCACCTGGACGCACCATGGCTGTAGGGCAAAGAGGCCAAGAGCAGGGAGATTTGCCCAGTCCTATTTCAAAAACATTTTATTTACAGTATCGTACACGTCTACCCCTGTGTGAACAGTTTTCCCCAGCAGGATTTAACAGCACCCTGGAAAGAAGGTGAAGCAGCAGCAGCAGCTACTGCCTGAGCCGCAGCCCTGGCCGGGCTCTGTGCCCAGAGGGCTCCAGGGGGGCTGGGAGCAGCGCGAGGAGGTGCCCGGAAGCTCCCGCTGCCTCCGGCTTTGCCCCTGCCCGGAGCAGGGCGGGAAAGGGCCCCAGTGCTCGGGGAGGTTCCAGCGGTGCAGAGCAGGGCTCAGGACTGGGCTCGCCCCGGGCCAGCGGGCGCAGCAGGGCCAGGGATGTCCCGGCCACCCTCCAGGACAGGCGGCTCTCGCTGGTCCGGTCAGCCAGAGCTCAGCTGGTCCAGGGCCTCAGCTGAAGAAATAGGTGGATTCCATCACCTTCTTCAGGTTGAAATCACCTAGGGGCAGGCAGGGACAAGAGCCGTTAGGAGAAGCAGGGTGGGAGATGGGGGAACAGGGACAGCCCCCCCGCGCTGGCACAGCTCCTACCGGAGCTTCAGCCGAGATGGGAACATGGGCAGCGAGGGAGCCCGGAGCTCTCCCAGGGCTGCTGTCCCTTCCCATTTACAGTGGGAGGAAGAAGAGGGCAGAAGGGCCCCTCAGCAGCAGGGAGGAGGAGGAAGGGGGACACGGCGGGAGCAGCAGCGCGGCTGCCATCGGCCGCCCCGGGCTCAGCGCGGCAGCTGCCGCGCCGCACGGGCCAGTGCACTTGCCGGCTTCGCTCTGCAAAGACGGAGCAAAGTTTAGCCAGATGGTCTGGCCGAGGCCCGGCTTAGGGATTAGGAGGAGTTAAACTAATTGCCTTAATCCGATTGCATGTGTATCATGCAGATCCTGGCAATTACCATGCTCTGAGCCCCGCTCTCATCTCCAGGCAAATGCTTTGCTGCAGGCACAGAGGAGTGCGAGCAGCAAGGGGCAGCCCCAGCGGGGCGAACGCAGGGCTGAAGCCCAGGGAAGGAGCGGCAGTTCCCGGGAAGCTGCAGGGAAGTGGCTCCAGGCTTGGCTGTGTGGCCCAAGGCAGGCAGCACCGGCTGAGCTTGGGGCGCCCTTCAGCACCGGCTGAGCTTGGG